ACGATTTCGAAAATCTCCTGAATTCCATTTTATTCCATTTATTGACATTTTATTGACCACGATTCGAAAATCTCCTGAATTCCATTTTATTCCATTTATTGAAATTGAGACCACGATTTCGAAAATCTCCGAAATTTTATTTTATTGAAATGAGACGATTTCGAAAATCTCCGAATTCCATTTTATTCCATTTATTTGAAATTCGATTTTCGAAAATCTCCCGAATTCCATTTTATTCCATTTATTGAAATTGAGACACGATTTCGAAAATCTCCTGAATTCCATTTTATTCCATTTATTGAAATTGAGACACGATTTCGAAAATCTCCTGAATTCCATTTTATTCCATTTATTGAAATTGAGACCACGATTTCGAAAATCTCCTGAATTCCATTTTATTCCATTTATTGAAATTGAGACCACGATTTCGAAAAAATTCCTTCCATTTATTGAAATTGAGACCACGATTCGAAATCTCCGAATTCCATTTATTCCCTATTTCGAAAAAGAATTCCATTTTATTCCATTATGAAATTGAGACCACGATTTCGAAAATCTCCTGAATTCCATTTTATTCCATTTATTGAAATTGAGACCACGATTTCGAAAATCTCCTGAATTCCATTTTATTCCATTTATTGAAATTGAGACCACGATTTCGAAAATCTCCCGAATTCCATTTATTCCATTTATTGAAATTGAGACCACGATTTCGAAAATCTCCTGAATTCCATTTTATTCCATTTATTGAAATTGAGACCACGATTTCGAAAATCTCCTGAATTCCATTTATTCCATTTATTGAAATTGAGACCACGATTTCGAAAATCTCCTGAATTCCATTTTTTCCATTTATTGAAATTGAGACCACGATTTCGAAAATCTCCGAATTCCATTTTATTCCATTTATTGAAATGAGAACCACGATTCGAAAATCTCCTGAATTCCATTTTATTCCATTTATTGAAATTGAGACCACGATTTCGAAAATCTCCTGAATTCCATTTATTCCATTTATTGAAATTGAGACACGATTTCGAAAATCTCCCCGATTCCATTTTATTCCATTTATTGAAATTGAGACCACGATTTCGAAAATCTCCCGAATTCCATTTTATTCCATTTATTGAAATTGAGACCACGATTTCGAAAATCTCCTGAATTCCATTTTATTCCATTTATTGAAATTGAGACCACGATTTCGAAATCTCCTGAATTCCATTTTATTCCATTTATTGAAATTGAGACCACGATTTCGAAAATCTCCCTGAATTCCATTTTATTCCATTTATTGAAATTTGAGACCACGATTTCGAAAATCTCCGAATTCCATCTTATTCCATTTATTGAAATTGAGACCACGATTTCGAAAATCTCCTGAATTCCATTTTATTCCATTTATTGAAATTGAGACCACGATTTCGAAAATCTCAATTCCATTTTATTCCATTTATTGAAATTGAGACCACGATTTCGAAAATCTGAATTCCATTTTATTCCATTTATTGAAATTGAGACCAAGATTTCGAAAATCTCCTGAATTCCATTTTATTCCATTGATTGAAATTGAGACCACGATTTCGAAAATCTCCCGAATTCCATTTTATTCCATTATTGAAATTCGAGATCACGATTTCGAAATCTCCTGAAATTCCATCTTATTCCATTTATTCCATTTATTGAAATTGAGACACGATTTCGAAAATCTCCTGAATTCCATCTTATTCCATTTAATGATAATTTTGAGACCATGATTTCGAAAAATCTCCCGAATTCCATTTCATTCCATTTATATGAAATTGAGACCGACGATTTCGAAAAATCTCCCGAATCCATTTTTCAGGATCAATAAACTTTTCGCATTTTCTTTTCTGCCGAGTCTGTATGTCTGTATGTGTGTGTGAGTGTGTGTGTATGTGTATGGATTTGTACGTATTTGTGTATTTATGTATGTATGTATCTGTTTATATGTTTATATGTATATTTTTATATTTTTAAATACTGTGCTTTGATTAGCCCTTGATTTCTTAACAATATTTAGAATTTCAAATATTGAACATTTTGAACACCTGGTATTCTGTGAATTGCATATTTTACTATTGAACAATTTGAACAGTATTGAACAATTTGAATATTGAACAATATTGAACAATTTGAACAACATTGAACAATTTGAACAATATTGATTTGAACAATTTGAACAAACAATTTTAGAACAATTTGAACAATTTGAACAAAGATTGAATTTGAACAATTTTGAAACAACAAAAATTTTGAACAATTTGAACTATTTGAACAATTTTAACAGTTTCAACAATATTTAATAATTTAACATATTGACAATTTGAACAATTAATTGAACAATATTGAACAATATTGAACAATTTCAACAATATCGAACAATTTGAACAATATTGAACAATTTCAACAATATTAACAATATTGAACAATTTTTATTTGAACAATATTGAACAATTTGAACAATATTGAACAATTGAACAATTTGAACAACATTGGACAATTTGAACAATATTGAACAATTTGAACAGCATTGAACAATTTGAACAATATTGAACAAATTGAATAATATTGAACAATATTTAACAATCTGAATGATATTGAAATATTTTAATTATGTTTGAAAAAAAATGATAATTTAAATAATGCTTTAGAGTTTGAACAATATGTAAGATTTTGAACAATATTTAACACAATAGTCTTAACATTATAAATACCATCATAATATTATAAATATCATCATAATCATTGTTATTATTATTTTTATTATTGTCATTATTATTGTTATTATCACCATTATTATTATCATTATTGTTATCGTTATTACTATTATTATTATCGTTATATTATTATTGTTATTATTATTATTATTATTATTATTTGTACTATTATCATTATGGTTTTTACATTTGTTTTATCGTTATCACTATCATTATCATTATTATTATTACCATCATCATCATCATTTTCGTTTATTTCTATTATCATTATTGTTACTTCATTATTATTATCATTATTTCCATTATCATTATTGTTACTTCATTATTATTATTATTATTTCCATTATCATTATTGTTATCCTCATCATTATTGTTGTTATCATTGTTATTATCATTATCATCATCATTGTTATCATCATTATTATTATCCTTATCATTATGATTTTTTCTATTACTATTATTATTAGCACCATCAATGTTATAATTATTATTATCATTTCTATTATCATCAGTATTATCATTATCAATATTGTTATTATTGTTATTATCATTATTACTGTTATACTTATAAAGGTAATGATAATAATCATAATGGTAACGATAAAGATAATGGGAATGATGATGATAATGATAAGTATGATAATGATAATGAAAATCATGATAATGTAATAATAATAAAATGATAATATTGATAATGATAATCAATATAAAATAAACAATAATGATAACGATAATAATGATAATGATAATGAAATGATATTGATAATGATAATCATGATAACAATGACAACAATTATGACGATTGCAATAAAGAAAAAAGTGATAATAACAATAACAATAATAATGATGATAATAGCAATTATAATAATGATAATGATAATAATAACAATAAAATAATAATAATAATGGTAACAACGGTAATAGTAATAATGAAATTGAAAATGATCAAAACAATTTAATAATATTGATGTTAGCAATGATAGTAACATTGATAATGATGATCATAGTAATAATGATAATGATGATAATAAAGAAAATGATTATGATAATTAAAATGATAGTAAAATGAAAATGATAATGAAGATATTGACAATAGTAACATTAATAATGTTGATAATAATAATAATAATGATAATGATTATAATGAAAATGATCATGATAGTAATTATAATGATAGCAATTTCAAAAATGATAATATTTATAACAATAATGATGATAAAAATAACAATGATAATAATAAAAAGAATATCAATGCCAATGAAAGTAATGATAATAATAATAATAATAATAATAATAATGATTATGCTAATGCTAATAATGAATAATAATAATGTATAATGATTGAATAATAAAATTCTAATAATAATAATGATGATGATGATAATAATAATGATATTGATAATACTAATAATAGCGACATTGGTACCATAACGACAGTAACGATAATAATAGTAAAAATAATAATGAACATAGCAATAGTAATAGTAATAAAAACAGTAATAGTGATGACAATAATATCTGATAATAAAAGTAATAATAATAATAATAATAATGATAATGATAATAATAATGATAATAATAATAATAATAATAATGATAATAACAATAACAACAACAATAATAATAATAATAATGATAATAATAATAATGCTAAAAACAATCACAATGATAATGATGATGATAATGGTAAGAATAATAATGATAATAATGATTATGATAATGATGGTGATGATGATGATGATAAAGATGAAAAAAATAATGATAAAGAAGAAAAAAAATAATGATAATGATAATCATAATACTATTGATGATAATAAGGATACAAATAAGAAGAATGATAGCAATAGTAATAGTAATACTAATGATGATAATAATCCTACTGATAATAAAAACACTAATAATAACCACTATAATCAATACCATATCATCATCATTATCATTTTATCATTATTATAATGATCAATATCATGAACTTCATCACCCTCATCATACTAATAAAAACAACAGTAAAAAAAATCCCACAGAGAAACCAGTTAACTACACCTAAGACATTTAGACACGCAATATAAGACACGCCAAAAAACCTACTTCGTTAAAAAGAAAATTCATGGGCATTGCATGTAGTTCTGTCTATGTTGCAGAAGTTTTATTCTTTATCATGTACTGTTGCAGAAGTTTTATTCTTTATCATGTACTGTTGCAGAAGTTTTATTCTTTATCATGTACTCTTGCAGTTTTATTCTTTATCATGTACTGTTGCAGAAGTTTTATTCTTTATCATGTACTGTTGCAGAAGTTTTATTCTTTATCATGTACTGTGCAGAAGCATGTACTGTTGCAGAAGTTTATTCTTTATCATGTACTGTTGCAGAAGTTTTATTCTTTATCATGTACTGTTTGTTTTATTCTTTATCATGTACTGTTGCAGTTTTATATCTTTATCATGTACTGTTGCAGAAGTTTTATTCTTTTATTCATGCAGTTTTATTCTTTATCATGTACTGTTGCAAGAAGTTTTATTCTTTATCATGTACTGTTGCAGAAGTTTTATTCTTTATCATGTACTGTTGCAGAAGTCATGTACTGTTGCAGAAGTTTTATTCTTTATCATGTACTGTTGCAGAAGTTTTATTCTTTATCATGCTGTTGCAGAAGTTTTATTCTTTATCATGTACTGTTGCAGAAGTTTTATCTTTATCATGTACTGCAGAAGTTTTTATTCTTTAATCATGTACTGTTGCAAGAATTTTATTCTTTATCATGTACTGTTGCAGAAGTTTTATTCTTATCATGTACTGTTGCAGAAGTTTTATTCTTTATATTACTGTTAAGTTTTATCTTATCATGTACTGTTGCAGAAGTTTTATTCTTTATCATGTACTGCAGAAGTTTTATTCTTTATCATGTACTGTTGCAGATGTACTGTTGCAAGTTTTATTCTTTATCATGTACTGTTGCAGAAGTTTTATTCTTTATCATGTACTGTTGCAGAAGCACTGAAGTCTTTATCATGTACTGTTGCTTTCATTATTGTAATGATGCAGAAGTTTTATTCTTTATCATGTACTGTTGCAGAAGCTGTTGCTTTATTCTTTTGTACTGTTGCAGAAGTTTTATTCTTTATCATGTACTGTTGCAGAAGTATCATGTACTTTGATTCTTTATCATGTACTGTTGCAGAAGTTTTATTCTTTCATGTACTGTTGCATGTACTGTTGCAGAAGTTTTATTCTTTATCATGTACTGTTGCAGAAGTTTTATTCTTTATCATGTACTGTTGCAGGTATCATGGCCTCCAGAGTGTATGTGTCTCGGCTCGGAGTGTTGATGGCGATGCTGCTTCTGATGCAGGGAAACAGTGGAGAGGGTGTATTGTACAGGAGGGTAAGTTATGGTTGTTATAATAGTTATATTGGTATATTGGAGAGAGACTGTATAAGATTTAATTATAAGCGTAATATCGAATATTTGTAACTTTGTACCATGGTAAAGCGAGGGTTATATATGGTATATCTCAGCTAGTTTCAAGGGTTTTCTAGACTATTTGTTCAGCAGTATTCAAGATGTACACTATCAGAATAATGCACACTTCAAACTGCCAAGTAATGTGCACTTTAATCCCCAACTCTTCTATGCAGCTATTAAGAAGTGCAATTGTACTCCGGGCTGAGAAAAAGAAAGGGACATCTTGGTGGGTAGAAACGAATGACATTATTTATTCACAAAACCCGGTGGTGCATAAAAGCAGCGAGAATAACGGTGTCAGCTTGAACACCGTGGTTAAAACGACGGTTCTCATACACCCCCCTCACGCATGCTCTGAATCCCGGTGTTATTGTTGCTTGGCACCGACTTTCGAGGTACAACCCACAGGGAAGATTACGTGAACTCAAAGTGTATCACGAAACAGACTCTTTTTCAGCACTTTTTTTTTGGGGGGGGGGGGGACAGTCTCTCTCTGTCTCTTTCTCTGTCTCTGTCTCTGTCTCTTTCTCTGTCTGTCTGTTTGTCTCTCTACCATAACTTACTTTCTCTCTGTCTCTTTCTTTCTCTCTGTCTGTCTTGTCTGTCTGTCTGCCCCCCCCCCTCTCTCTCGTTCTGTCTCTGTCTCTGTCTCTCTCTCTCTCTCTCTCCCTCTCCCTCCCTCCCTCTCTCTCTCTCTCTCTCTCTCTCTCTCTGTCTCTCTCTCTCTCTCTCTCTCTCTCTCTCTCTCTCTCCTCTCTCTCTCTCCCTCCTCCCTCCTCTCTCTCTCTCCCACAAGACCTTCATTCAACACGTACAGCCAACGTGCGTCACAAAAACTCCCTCTCTTCACACGTTTTCAGGACCCCGTTTCACACACAGGCGGGTCAATATCACACCAAACAACTCTCTCGTTTATTATCTTTTCTATTGCAGCTTTACATACCAGCTGTACTTCCGGAAGCTGATACGTGTCCCCCGGTTGCTGAGGTTACAGCGCCAAGCCACGTCCAGCTGGTTAGGTTCTACTGTATCATCCGGTGCAACGCTGAACCACGATGCAAGTTCATCACTGTTTTAGGTAATTGTCACTGCTGTGGGTCTGTGTTTATGTGTTGTTTTTGTTTTGTTTGTGTGTGTGTATGTGTTTGTGTTTGTGCATGGGTGTGTGTGTGTTTGTGTGTGCATGGTGTATGTGTATGTGTTTGTGTATGTGTATGTGTGCTTGTGTATGTGTGTATGTGTTTGTGTGTTTTGTGCGTGTGTGTTTGTGTTTGTGTTTGTGCATGGGTGTGTGTGT